ATATATCGACGATAAGTAGCCCTACACGTCTGACTAAAAAACCTAAATTCGTAACCTCAGCTTCACGGGGTTCTCAAATGCCAATTAGTATCAAAGTGTTTTTTTCTTCATTACCTATTCATAACAAGAAATTGTAAAGTTTAGCAGGGACTGTTTGGTGGTGTTTGGTGTTTCTTTCCGAATTCTTGATGCGCTCTTCTAACGACTTCTGAACCGATAAGCGCTGTCATTAGGGATGAACAAGAAATGCAAAAGTGCCAGAATGAATTTGTGCAATTTATATTAACTATTGAGTTATGTCCTGCGTAAGGAGGACCATATGGCAAGGCAAGGTTACTAATGTAAGAAAGCGAGATAGCACAGTATCCTAAGCATTTGGCAAAGCATTTGTTTGTCTCGCTAAGATGTAATCACTTTAGCTGGAATTACTCAGTTCTAAGCTCTTTTGCTCAATAGATAACATCAGATATCAGCTTGAGAACGTCACTTACCGTTAACAAAGACGCGTGGTTCGTTAAAAAGGCTACAAGAAAGATGTGTCTGTATTCTTGTCAATCGCACGCTGGGAAACGTCGTTTTTGGACGTATCACAAAGAAAACAACTTCTTGGAGGCAACTAAGTGACGTCAAGACGTCATGCTCGAGTTGAAGGTTTTTATTCCCTCGTAACTCACAAGGGATTTCATTTGAAAAGAAAGCATGTTAGCTGACGCAAAGGTCTATCATGTCATCCCTTTTGACTAATCATTGATACCGCCACCGAATTTAGAAGTCTGCAGGAGTTGTAAAAGCCTGTGAGTTTTCGTTGCAGGATTTTGCTTAAGCTTATCATAAAAACTCTTAGTTTTTACTTTAACTCTCTAACATCCTTTCTCTTCTAGAATGTGAGCTATGCCTGCTCTTTTGTCTGTTTCAAATTAAGGAAAGAAAAGGAAAAGAGATCATGTACCATTGTTATGGTGTTAATTGCAACATTCGTGATTGTTTAGATATTCATGACCCAAACATACCAGTGCCACAGAAACGAACAATTAGTATCTTGTACTCTTAGCAGCGCATAACAACGTCAAAGCAATGGCTGACTAACATACTGGCCCTAAGGTTGTGATAAGAAAAGTAAATAGTTACAAATCTACGTTATTACTTGATTGTTCACTGCAAAAACATCGGAGCCATTAAATTGTTGATCATAAACTTCTGTTGTCAAGTTCTCTATTTTATCGTATTTCCTTAGACCCCTACACAGTTTTTTTTGTTTATCAACCTTCTGAGTAGAGTAGTTAGTGAAAAAACTTCTCGACGGCGCATTGCAGCCTCTAAAGTTGCCAAGTATGAGTGATATGTTGAAAACCACAGAGGATGTAATTCCGTAAAGCCGTGATACTTTTCAGACTTTTATGTAATGGAGGGGACGAAACTTCTCTCTAACCAAGCACTGGTCCATACCAAGGGTTACATAGCTACGGAGAGGTCTTTTTTACGCATACGGAAGTAGTTTGCGTCGAACATGACCATTTCAACTAGCTTCCTCCAGTTTGTTTATATGGGGCACTAATGACATTTATCGGGAAATAACATGCAAGGCGGATCTTTTTTCTTGTTTACCCTTGTTTGCTGACAGATTCTTTGTTTCTTACAACCAGAGCTAAGCGAATATCCATTGGCTTGTCATGAGGAACTAATCAAATGAGATCTGACCATAGCAGAGCAAACGGGGCTCATTGGGGGTCAAGACAACTAGTGAGAAAAACTAGAGAGACACCGTGTCTAGTGTACGTGGCGCTTCAGTTCGGCCACGAAAGAAAGATAACTAGTTGATTTCCGGCCACTTGATGACGTAATGCTTTCGCTTGACTTCGTTTGTTGTGCGCTAATAGATGAAGAGCAAACTATTGCACTAAACATAATCGTGAGTGAATGAAAGGCGGACGGTAACCAACTCCGGATTATTTCGTGAATCACGAACAAATCTTATGCTCGCACTCCGCATTTAGTTCGCTAATCTGCTTATGGCATCCAAGCTAAACGAGCTACATTTTTCGGGGAAGACATTTGGCACCTTTCGTGCTACTTTCGTGGACTGCTAAGGATTAAACTGCAGGTTGTCCGAAAACAAAGATGGAATTAAGTGTTGCTGTATATTTCGGACAAGTTATATGAAGGGCATAGTACTATATAGATATAATTGAATAAAAAACTCCCTCTTGCTCCGATCGACCTGCTGAGGTAAAGACACTGAAATCAGTATACTCCCTTTAATAATTTTGTTCTTTTATGGCTGTGTTGAGCCCAAGAGCCCCCTTTCTTTACGGTACCGTGACGAACAATAGTCAGTCGGTCGGCTTCTGCTCAAAGACATGTAAATACCACAGCAATGACATAAGATTCGCCTTGGAGTAAATCGATGTTTACTCGCACAATGGGGTGGTTTAAATAATCCAAAATTATGTCGTCACTAGATTCTAACATATTCGACTCGTCATCATAGGACAAACTTTATTGTCTGTTAAACGCTAAAATCAAACTCTTGAGATACTTCAAGTCACGACCATTAGTAATGAGTTAAGAATGTAACCCCTGCCCTATTTGCTAAACGGCAGCCCCCTCTCAACACGCAATTCAGTCCCACGGCCCGATGTAATGTAGTCAAGGCGGCAGATGGAAAGCCATGTACAAACTTTACATTACGTAATACCTATAAAAGAGGGAAAATTACCCATGGACACGGTTGAAAAAAACAGCAGACTAAGGCTTGCCTGAGGTTTTCTTCTTTCTTGCCCGCTATCATACGACTTCCGTGGATTAAGAACAGGAAGTCACTTGCTCTTATTGTAAGCGGGAACGAACGTGCGCCTGCCGATGACTTTACAAATCATTCTTACCAACTTAAAAAAACAAAAAAACTTGTCACGCGCGAAAACTGATACGTGACCCGAGCAGAAACTTCCTTAGGTTTTTCTCTGCTTTCGTTTTCGTTTGATCATTTGCCTCTGTGTTTTATCCTTTTAAATTCATTTTAATCTTATGATTTAATAAACCTGAAAATAACATTTCATAGTTCCCCGTCTACAACGTTTTCATCCAACCCTTTCCTGGCGCCTTGTTGTTTCTGTCCATTGTGTGGAAAGTACTTTCAAGTTTTTCTTTTGTTTCAGTCTAATAACCATGTTTCCTATTTGGCTTTAACTCGTACATTTTTCCTTTGTGGCCTTTTTCTTCGCTACCTTTCTGGCGTGGAAATTAACGTACAGACCTAGCAGTAATTAACTTTAGTAAGCTCGTTAACCGCTAGTATTTGCTTTCCGAATAAACATGTTATTCTGATCATTTTCCATTGGCTGTTTGAAAAATTGCCGCTCGAATGACCAATCTGGGAATTAAAACTTTTGTTTGTGGCTACTTGATAGTCATCTGCCTGACTTCATCATCGTCTTTCTTTGGGTGATAGCTGAGCAAGGCTACAACGCGTTCGCAAAACTGTGAAAACAGTTCCCGAATCGTTTACTTTCGTGAGGAAATGTACGATTAGTGAGCTAATCCTGTACGTTAACATCCTTTTCTGCTTTAACCACATGTTAAACGCGTTAGCTAATCCCTAAAATAAGTGATCACGTTCCTGAAGGGTTCTTCAGAGGTTAATTAAATACAAGAATGCCGACTGATATTGCCTGAAAGGTCAAAATGGATTTTCTCTCTGTTAACCTGATGCTCCATCTATTACGTATACGAGAGTTCTTTTCAAGGATTAGCATTTTGTTGAGGCTGGGTCTTGATTGCTGACCCTTGATTGCGAAAAAACAAAACAAAAATAGTCTAAGGAGTGAGTGGCGTGGGTGGGTGTGCGCGAAATAAAGCAGTCAATGTTCACTGTCGTATAGTTAAAAATAAAAACCGTAGTGGTCAGCAGTGACCGTGACGTTACCTTTTTTCACAAAAAACGTACCCCGTGAGGTTAGAAACCTTCCATTACGACTGACTTAAGATATTACTGTGGTAGCTGTCGTTATCATTAACACTACATTGCAAGGCACTTTAGTCATCCAATAAGGATGCAGTTACTTGTTAATGTCACGCTCGAGACGCAACTATCAATTCAAAAAAGTGCACCATACCCTCACGAACTCACTACAAACTTATTATAAATTTGAGGAACCAAGAACTATGCAGCTGTTAGTCTCACCGGAAAGTCCTTACCATAAATAACAGTCAGAATTGCAATTGAAGAGAAGGACGAATACGCATTGTTACAAAGTTCAATTATGAACTTTGCACAGTTAAAAAGAAGACTTGACGGTTCTCGCGTAAATATGGAAAAATCATCTACTCTCTACCATGGCCATGGATATTTAATGTTGTTTCACTGAAAGACTTTTAACAAAGGTACGACTTTACAACTCTGAATCAAATCGATAGTACGTTACGCGAATGGATGATTCACCTTAACAAATACAATATACGTTCGAGCAGACAACAGTTAAATTATGTTAGTCGGCATACCGTAGAATCCCAATTTTAAGTCCCTTTCGAAGTCTAATCTTGTTTGGTTACAGATTGTAATTAATACTACAGCTTTAAATTTTTTTTCGTTTCGTTTTCTTTTGGTATTAGCTTGCCCCACCCCCTTCCTATCCCCTGTCACCCCATCAACGTAAGTCACATGGAACGGCCTCTCGGGACAGTGTTTCTTCCGAGGCCTCATAACTGGGATTTTACACTTGCATGACCTGAGCCAATTGACAACTGCATCTACCAGTAATGATCATAATTTGCACCTGCACCAGCGATGGCTTGATGTCCAAGGCTTTCTGAACAATAAGGTATTTACATTTCACTTTCCTTGACTAAATAAAAAAGCATATTGGATGGGCGAAGAAGTGACCAGTTCTCTTTCAATTTTTGACTGAAAACAGTTTTTTACATTAAAAAGGGAAGACATACATAAAAATCCTCCAAAGTGTTACAGATTTCTTTTAAACACACTCACATCCGTGATTTTCCTGATGATGAATGCATAATGACGTTCCTTGGAGCACTCTAACGTAAAGTGACTGAGGAGGGCTTCGTAATTCACTTATCGGCAGAGCCAAAGCTTTACCGCAAAAAATATTTCATTGAGCTCGAGGCTGACGTGGAAATGATGTTCTGACCAGAGCTGCAGAGGAAATTGAATTCTAATTTGTTGCTACGAAGAATCAAACATGGCAATCCGTTATTGATAGGTTACGCTGTCTCTGTCTTACGTTCCAATGAAGACACTCGGCCAGACTTACAAACCAGTCCGCTATCTGATTTTCACTATTTACACACGGCACAGGGTAAATAGACGTCGTAATTTGAATGCTGAAAAGTAAAAACAATGGTGAACTTTGGAAAGAGAGGATAGTTCCTCCTAACTGAGGTGGTCACTTACGTAAATCTGACAACAAAATTGATCTCTCCTCCTGCTAACACAAGTCCTGATCAACAGGATTTTGCTGCCCTTCGAATGAACGGCTTCACTCAATCCGTATGCGTGCAAAAATAGATGTACCTCATCTCGATGTGCAGTTTCCGTGACACAAGCCTGGAGAGACTTATGAAAAATGGCGTGTCGATTGTCAAACATGGCCAATTTGTGGGAATGACAGCTCAGTTCTTTTTCTCGATACATGCACTGTATATTCAAACTATATTCTGCACAGTAAATCCACGAATTCACCATAGTGTCACTTTATATGAGAGGTGTTAATTTTTTTCGTCCCGAACCTATACCAGATCTTCTAAAAAACATTATCTGTACCCACAGGCAGCCCAAGTATAAGGAGAGGTATTTTTTATTGAGAATTTGACTGTATTTTTTATTCCTAGGAGCGGTCGTAAATATTTCCATACATGACCTTATTTCGCAAGATGATCGATATCATCTCGTAGCTGGAGCTATGGCTGCCTGTGCTGTACTTAGTCTAACAGTGAACAAGTTAGCTGGTGTCTGAAACGATGACTTGAAAAAGACACAACGCATGAAGACAAAGATGAATCTTCACCTGTCTCCCACGTGAAGTTCTTGTCGCTGTCTTCCATCAAATGAGGTCCAAGCTGAACTTCTGCTCTCTGAACTGACTACAATCTATAGTTGCATAGAGAAAGAGAAAAAGCAATTCTTGAGTCTAACATTGCTTACTTACAAAACAAAAGCTTTTGTTTTTTAACTGCTCGTTCGTTTGTCTGATTTAAGTTTTCCAATTTTATAAGCTCTTTATACCTTAAGTTCTACTCCCGCTGGGAGGATGATGGGCCTGAATGAGAGAGAGTGCGGACAGACAGGAGTAACTAAGATTCCGGCCACGCTGGGGTGAACCATCGAGGCTCCTGCAGCTACTGCATATGCTGTACTGCCAGTTGGGGTGGAGACGATAAGACCTGCAAAAATCAAGGTTATTAACAACGTTCATGTCACGGTCATGGGAATGAATTCTCAAGGATCAACTGCAAGTTGATAATCTAATCAGCGTGATTCCTTTCAAAGCTTTTGGAAATTAGTATGCAATACACCTTTGTACACTGACGATCTGAGAAAATAAATGACAGAACAAGATTAGTGTGAAGGGACAGCATCTTACCGTCTCCTTGTACGGATGTGATGTGGTGGTCATTGCAATATATTTCTAAGTTTGTGAGGTACGAAGACGGACCACGGTCAACGACCACCTCGTTCAATACCTGTAGGGCAAAATCACATGTACTTATCATTAAAAATAATTCAAGAAAGTAGTATACCAAAAAAATAAAACTGGACTAAAAAAGTTAAAGGAATTCACAGAAGACGGTAACGATTGAAATCCGAATACTGATGGTCAGCACTCTAATGTAAGACTGCAGTAAAACATCCACATGCACGACAAGTGGATTAAGAACCTTCAGGCAAATGTGATGAATAAAGTACCCATTAAAGAGGAACTACTTCAGCCTACTATAATTGAACAGGTTCTTTTTTTAAAAATAATAGTAAGTATCAACGTTAGAAAACAGTGGCTTTTGACATTTATTCCATAATCTCGATTTAATCACCAAAAATACTACCTCACTCTTACATGCACAAGCCCCATCTGGTTTGAGAGTGCCCCCTCTTAGTACAGGTGGAATCAAACAATGAATTCTCAAAGCCTGTACAATATTACGCAGGTCTTAATTGCTTTTTTTTTAAATTGCTTTGTCTTTTTCTGCGTGTTTGTTTGTTTTAATTTTTTTTTTTTTACAACAAGCTTAAGGCAAACTGTCATAAAACTCTTAACAAAAATGCTGGGCTCAGAGAAGAACATTCGTTATTTTAAACCCCTAATTAGGTAATTAAGCCTTTTTGCGGAGAGTCGAAATCTACAACAACAACTAAGCAGCTCCTAAACCATGGGTCAGTAATATGCTACAGATGGACAAACCAAGTGACGTGTCTTTTCCTTGTCACGCTTGATAAAGTCACACTGGAGTCTGCTTCTTAGAGTTAAGCCCGCACGACCTGTAAAATTCTCTACGTTAACAATATATCAAAAGCAATTAGAAATGCGAGTAGCTTAAGGACTATTCTCTCCGTGTAATGTTCCCTCATCATACTGATGTTCCCCTAAGGAGAGAAAACAATGCTACCATGGTACAATGAATTGCCTTTGAGTTCCCTTCCATCACGGCCAATTCCAGGCATGAAAGCTTGAGTCAATTTGAGTATATTTTAAAGAAAAGCTTGTTCTTCCTAGAGCCCCTCTTGGGGCCACAAGAAGTCAAACTCACCTTCTAAGATTTTGGTTATTTTATCTCGAAAATCTTGAAATCTAAACGACGTGAGAAATCCCAAAGAACCAAGATGAAATGCCATAACAGGAGGGCAGCTGGACTGTAAAAAGCAAAATGGTACTTGAGTTGTACTTTGGCTTTTAGTCTGCTCTTATCATTTACATGGGTTACAGAGACTTTGCTGTTAGGACTCTCTTCCCACCCACAGAAGTCACCTACAAGACTGACAGTCAGCTGTACCGTCATTAAAACGCGTTTTGACACGATTTTCAAGAGTTCAGTCTGAGGAGTGATTGTCATTTGGTATTCTAGATAAACCGAACGGTTGCTTATTGTGTCCCCTTCATAGCAATATTTTTGGCTCGTCACTGATCAAAGCACGCGAAGAGAGCTATTCCTTTAATTATCTTTAAAGCCCTACTCAAGACTCGGACGAGGGCTGTGATACAGCGCACTTTTACTGGATCTAACATTGCACCAGTCTCTTCACTCAGGCGGTTCACCCATACATTTACTTCTTTGCACAATCTGGAGAGCAATTCATGCTTTCTTGGTCCACTATGTTTCAAGTTGGAAAGACACAAACGATCTTGTAATCCACAAACATCTTTAGCAATAATCGAAAATTCATCAAATACCATCGACTACCGACACAAACTATTTGGATACTCACCTGAAACAAAGATGAAGCATGCAAAAGTGTTCCATCCCCTCCCATGCAGATGACAAAGTCGATTTTATCATCTAACTGGTCGCCTGAAGAGTTATCAACAGAAAAGAAATCAAACACGCGGTTATGCGTGATCAAATCACCGCATGTAATGAAAGTAAAGGTGCTCGTCTTTCTTCATCCGCAGATGATAAGAGAATATCTATTGCTTGGTGATAAATGGCTTATTTAGCATCTTTTGTTTGAAAAAAAGATGCTTAAACCAACAAAACGTTCAGGTTCGATTCAGTTTGTATGCATACTTTCATTCATAGAGATAGGCAAGACAACTTACCCTCTTTAAAAATGCACATTTTCGATCTCACACATGTAAATTTTTCGTCTTTGCGTACTAGTAGATCCCGTACAGCAGATTCTTCAGCGTAAATAACCATTTTTCTCTCCTATGAAATTATCAATAGAAGATAGAAAAGGTATTCAACATCCAAAATGATATTTATTTCATACATAGTGAGATTTACACTGTGAAGTTCGTTCGTGTCTCCGATTGGACGAACGATGTATGTCACAGTCGTTCGCCTCCAATCTTTGAATTGAAATGTGAAAAAAAACTCAGTAAGTACGAAATAAAAACATCATACCATGGAAAATGCTTGAACGATTTTTATTCACGAGTTGCGATGCATCAAAAACTCACTCGTTCTCCGCGCTCCGTCGTTCGTTTTTTCGATGCATCGCAACTCGTGAATAAAAATCATTCGTGCGCACTTTCCATGGAATAATCTCTATATAAACTGTATATACTCCATTTGGCGCTAATTTAATGCTAGAGTATTTTTCCGCGAACAACTGTGCAGAGAAGAAAACGTTTGGGAGAGCGAACGTCGTTGAAAACTGCTGCTGAGCCTCGAGGAAACAGCCGATTATGTCCAAGGACAAATATAAACGGATTATTTCAAGCCAATTGGGCGCTAACGTGTTTGTTATCCCTAAAATCTAATTGGCAATAAATGTACACATGTTTGTCTCGTCCTCTGTATACCAACAGGAAAACATTTTCCCAACTTGTGTCCATTTTTGTAAAGAAGACATTTACTGCACTGAATCCTTAGTTTACGGAAAATTGGGGGATATCAACAAATATTCTCCAGTTTTAGCAAAGATTTATATTCACCTCAGACGTGACATACCATAACATGCTGGTTCTCTAAAACAGAGTACAATCAACTTTGGCCTCACCTCTGTGAGCCATCGGGTGAGTTCCTTAAAGCTTTCCGTCACCTCCTGATCCATTAGTTTTTTTATTACTAGCACATTCTGGGGTGGCTTGGCCCAGGCCAAGAAGTGCTCCGAGGGGTCTACATGGCTGCTATAGCAGGAATATGGAGGAACGAAGTTGCATTTGGTTAAACATATTTAATCTGAGAGAAGACTGACATGACCCAGACGTCAATAGTAGTACTACCTCATCTACACCATGGTCTGATTTGAGACAAAAGGAAGTTTGATGGTTTGTTTGAGACTTCTCCTGGATTTCAAGCAAATATTTAGCTTTAAGCCCACCACAAAGTCGTTCGTCATTACATGATTAAGTTACGAACATGCAAAGGCTATTATATATCTTCGTCTATAAAAAAGGTTTAACCCAGTTTCATTTGCAATACAGTTTCAGGAGGTCCGTCATCATAAAACCTCACCACTAGAATATTGTTAGTGAGAAAGCAAGTTTCAACGGTAAGATATTCACGTTTGTGTTAACTAATGACCACCCAGCACAACGTAGATATTCCACCTGTGGTATTCGAAGAAGACAAAAACGTGGTTACCTGCCTGGAAGCGAGAATATTTCCGAAAATACAAGTATATCCTAAGGACCGATCCGACCCTAAAATCAGTACTGAACCTGTATTTCCAAGAAACTATTAATCTGCGTAAATGACGTCGGAAAATAAATTAAAAACCCAACAGGACACGGAACAGTTCAAACTTGGGGCTTTACTTTTGATGGGAAATTGCCTGAGCTAATGTGTCCAACATACTAACCATTGGCACTAAAACTAACAAGAAAACTAAAGAACTATTAGAAAGGGTTATTTATTAGCTAAAGCACATTTATTCAGTGAACGAAAAATAAATCGCTGCAGGTGAGATCTATGTTTACGAAACGTCAAGGGCTATTCAAGAGAGGCTGAGAATAGATGTGTAAGGTTTCATTCAAACTTCAAACGACCGCACCCACGCAAGCCTTCATAACTTAAACAATTAGTTTAACGGTTAGAGTGTAGCAGATTTGCGTGTCTTTTGTTTGTCCTTCTTTGTTCTTTTCATAAATATCACGTCATTAAACGTCATTGATTTGAGTTACCACAAGCAACGACATAAAAAGACGAAATGAAAAAAAAAAACAAAAAAAAAACAAAAAAAAAACAAAAAAAAACGAGTTAAAAACATTTAAAACAAACGAGAACGAACAATATTGACAACACCCTTGATTGACAACTATTACTTTGGTTATAGCAAACAAAAAATCGTAACCGTGACGAAAGTAGTTCAACATGCGGCCTTCATTAGCATAGTCACTGAGATTGTTATTGTTTTCTCGACAAAATATCTTGTTTGTGTATCTAAAACAATGAGGAAAAAGTTTTGTACAGTCTCCAAAAAATTCAGAAGATAATTTCGTTTATTTAAATAAAAATCTATATTTGTATGTTCAATTGAGCCCTTTTATTATTTGGCGCTAGTGGGGATTTCAAAAACGTGTCAGACTAGTTACCGAACTACTTATGCATTAGAGACAGAAGTTGAGAAGATATTTTACCAGTTTGTGGAAGCCTCCTTTGAATTTCTTTGATTCTGGTCACTTGGAAACGGCTCAAACTGATTAGTCGGCTTCAAGTTGAATTTCCCATTTATCCATTTGCGACCCCGATGGTCATTTTTCCTCTGCAATTTCTTTGCCGAAATAGCCTTCATAACATATGAACAGGGGAAGACAAATCCATTCTGAGACGATGATTCCATAACGCGGAAAACTATCTCAATCGACACGAAACATGAATTTTAACAAAGCTTGTTTCCGTTTTGTAACACGACGTCAAATATCACTCGGCGTAAAGAACGACGTTCGGCCGGCTTCTGATGAGCTGTGTATGACGATCACTCGCCAAAACGTGAGGAGCAAATGACGCCCGATAATGTGTGTTGTTATGCATATTATCAAATTAAATTAACATCATTGTTCAAGCTAGTGAAGAACCAAGCTTTTATCAATTAAGAGATCAAGCTAAAAATCAATACTCCAGATTTAACCCGAGGTTCTGAATACGCACATACAAGACGTATGTTCTACGGGTTCTACGCAAATTCAACAAGAAATATACTGATAAGGCAAGTCGTTCAAATTGATTTCCAGAGACAATCGTGACAGTGGTCTAAACACTGACCAGTGGATAATTGTAAATTGACTGGCTAAGCGAAACGTTTAAAATTTCGCAATCCTTTAGGATTTATGAGGACTATTTCATAAAAAAAATAGAGCACTAAGTTGACCATAACTGAACATTCTCTAAAGTCATGTTCATTACGCAAGCACAATTCTCTACAATCCAATGGAACATAAATGAAAGTAGGCTTTTTTATAATTCAGTATGAGTTATGGAGAAGCAATAATTCAAAATTTAGGACGCAATATGCCGAAATATCACCCCTGGGGTCTCTTGGTAAAAACCTAAAAATAGTGATAACAAAACAAGAGGACACGAACCGAGGACTTGGTGGGAAGAAGTTTTGAAAATCAAAGCCAATATCATTTACCAAACATATATCATGTTTGAAATGAGCAATAATGATTTTTACATAACAAGCGATATTCCCAGAAGAGAGTTGCTATTCTGCCGCTACACCAGTACGAAGAACAAAAACAACTAATAGAAAAAGATGTGAAATTAGCATTAAAAAAAATCATTTTCAAATATCATCACCACAGAAGGTAAGGAACAAATACTACGAAGAGCAAAAGCAAAATGATTTTGGTACTCGTTTGTCAGTCGCAGAGAATCCAATGACGTCAAAGTGACTAAAATAAGAATGACTTATCGACTGATTAGCAGAGGAAAGATGAAGGTAAAATTTCCGAACAGCCCTATACTACATTACACATTCAGTTCTTGGATCTAGAAACAATGAAAAGAACAATACATTTCCTTTGGGAAAACAGATTTGTTTTACAGTAGTATAAGGCTGTACGGAAATTTTACCGAGATGAATAACATAGGAGCGACTCTTACAGGTAGGATGTCAGATGATAACGAAGTTTACAGCCCAGTTGTTTCTAGGCATGCTCTTGGGCTTAAAGGGACTAGGTTACGTAGTGAGCCTGCGTGAACACTTAAAGGCGTCAAATCTCTATTGTTCCCATCGTTATTAAAAAGAAGCAAAGCACGTCGGTGTAAAAACCGACAATCACGTGGTGTTTTTGTCACGTACTGCTGAGAATGATGCGAGGAAATTAAAATTCAAAATGTGGCAATTCTCGCTCTCTCTCTTAATGAAGTTATGTTCCGACTGTCTCGGGCAAGAATATAAATAAAAAAGAAATATAAGCAAACTCTCATGCACTTAAACGTCGAAGCGACACATCCAAAACATAACAGTTTTCCTGGGAGATTTATTCAGTGTAATCATTTATTCAGTGCCAGTGCTCAAAAAAAAAAAAAAAAAAAAAAAGTGACAACATTCCAAGATTAACCGGACTGTATGGAACTCGACGGCAAAGGCTACCATTTCCCCCCATTTCTAAATACGCATGTACGAGTTGCGACCTAGCCTTAAACATTACAATGCTAGCTCCATACTTGTCTTTTTTTTCGCCATTTTATCGGCATCTGTGGTCTACGTAAATACAATGTAAAATTTTTTAAATTGAAATTCAAGTACTTCAACATTGCATTTGATTTAATATGCTGTAGTATTTAATACATTTACCGACGAATTGCTTTTGTATTTTGGGGTAAAAAACAGCAAGTGTTTTGATATCGTAAAAGTGAAACGGAACCTTGCATGTAAAGCAGGAGAGAAATCAAAATACGACGTCTTCGCAAAAAATTTGTAATGAGTTGATAAAATTCCGCTTACAATAATGGGTAAGCTATGTCATCGTGTGTCACAATAGGCAAAATACATCTGTTACACGAGTCTATTGATACCCCTGTTGTTTTTGGTCAATGGATAAAGTTATTCTTTATAAAAAAAAAACGTCTGACGAACTTTCTTTGCATGTGCTTTAACGATTTTTCATAAGATCAAGATAATTCAACACCATTCTCCTTATAGGAATTTCGAATGCAAACAACCGCCAAGAGCTAGTCATAGTCAATAGTCATAGTCAATTTATCAACCAAGAATCATTTACCTCGTACATGTCCAATAATACATCGCTAAGAGGCTTACAATCACGAACGCCCGTCTTCCTAACTCGGAGCCAATTCAGCGGATCAAGATCCTAGCGAAGTAAAACTAGTTTTTCACATGATAAAAAAATGAAAGAAATGGGTACAATATACTCGTTCATGATTCAAATTACGCAGAGCAAATCTATATCGAACCAATCAGTAGGAAACAATACTTATGAAAACTGATAACGAAATGACTAAACGAAGATAAAATTTTCGGTTGAAAGTGTTAAATAACTTTTGGTTCCATATTTGCTATGTATATGGAGTATAATTTAGCCGTAAAGAATTCACGGGGACAGCGGTGCTTTTTTTTTTCCCGATAAGGACAATGACGATTCAAAAATGATACACTGAATCTCCCATTCCATTTACAATGCCACGATGTCGAAACTTTGAAAAGGTTTACCACACTGTTTTAATCAATATTGTTTCAAATGTTCGGCAATTAATTTTGAAAATAAGTTGTGGTCGACAGAGATAAAACCAAAACTTTCGACGCCAACATACCTCCTAAAACATCGTGGAAGTTTTTTATAAAATAAAACACTTTCACTTTCGATGGAGGAAATTCAAACACTCTTGATCAATAAGTAAGATAGTGCAAACTATTGACCAAAAATTGGCAACAAACTAACTTCTCCAAAGAGGACGTCCGAAAAGGTATCTTCGATTACGAGTTGTTGGATTGCGGGACTAACATACGGAGGGTTGGCAATCAAAGTGTGCCGCATCTACCACAGGCATCTCATGCTCACGCCACGAAAAAAGCGTAAAATATTTACAAATAAAGCGTCAACCGTTGTGTAGGTCTGTGGGTGACCTTCCAATCGACATAGTGTTTAGGTTAAGTAATCTATTGCATAACTTGCACCTGTTGCAAAAAAGTCATGTACTGGTGAAACAGGAAGACGACTACGTGACCGATTCCAAGAACACTTTCGCGAAGCAGAAAGAAATGACAAGGATGCATCCAAACCAGTCACTGGACACTTAAACCTTCCTTATCATTCTAAGCAGCATTTAGCAGTTTACGGCCTTTCCCTACATGTCTAGGTAGTTCGGAAAGCGGCAATACTCTAGAGAAAACATTTCTCAAATTGTTACTCTTAAACCGCAAAACTCTAGAGCAAAAATCTCTCAAATTGGTAATCTTAAACCCCAGTATATCACCGAACGCTTTTTATTCAACTAATTTAGTCTTGTTTTTATAGTTACAATGTTCCCGCCAATAACGTACTCCATTTTCTGCAGAAAAAACCCACACACAAACCACAATTTTTCCATTCGCTTTGACGAAGAGCTAACGCTCGAAACTTCAGCTTAGAAACTCTTAACAGCGGCCAATTTACGTTATCAACTCAGTCGAGAATACCAAATTACCAATTCAAATTAGCTGTCCTCGAGAAAGGCCGCCATAGAGCACAACATGTGAACGACGCCCATAAAAAAAGGCATCGCATGTTTGATGTTACCTACATAGAGTGTAGCTTTTCCGCTTCCATTCTCTGTTAGTTTTTTTGCACGACCATTTTGTTTTCTTGGGATTTGGTATTTTTTCTTTTGCATAATATGGCAATTTCGCGAAACCTCGGTGAGGCCTTTGCTTCGCTACCTTCGGAATTTACCACCAACCATGATCAATCAGTTCCACTGGCGCTCGCCTAACCCTCTTTACCATTAGTTCCCTTTGTGTTAAATTGTTCAGTTAAAACGCAGTAAGCTGGACTTTTCTTGTTTTTGTGTCAATCACAAATTAAGGAAAGTACACTGACGGCCCCACAACGAATATGTGTGCCCTGTATGCTTCTTGGAGGATATTTCATTCCCTTTTAAATTCCAACCAGACCTCAAAATGAGATGTTCTTTGTATCTATGTGTTGAAACATCTTTTTTCTTATTTGTATCTTTATTTGCTGCTTTGCTGCCCCTTGCACTATCTTTATTCGGCTCTGTTAGCTTCTTGAGTTTGAAATTTCGCTTTCCATTGATGTTTAAATTGGGAGTCTTTATAATAGGCCATTTTCGATACATTAAAATTCAACCATGTCTCCGAGGCTTGGGGGAAAAAACATAAGAAATCACATCGAGGTTGAGGGATCAATATTTAAATTCTTTGTTTTATCCCCCTTAGCCTCGAAGCCATGTGTAACTTAGATTTTTAATACATCGAAAATGGCCAATTAAATTCTTCTTCTCCTTCATAATGACATCATATTTTGCCGATAAACTGGTGCTCCCCAAAGGACTGACCTGGCTTTACTATTTATTTCTTAAAGTAACTAACCTGCGCTTCTTTTCATCTTCCCACAGGTGTCCTTTCCTTCCAAAGAGAAGTACAGGTGGAGGAGGATTTATTGATCTTCTCCTGAATCTGCTACCTCCGCTTCTGAAAATTGAACAATTTAACTCTTTCAACGAGAACTTATGCAGATCGCAACTGAGATCAATTTATTACGTATTCTATTAAGTAGAGTTATGGTGAAAGCCCCACCAATTGAATATTGATGAATGTCCACCAAATTCAAAATTGATTTTTAAACAATTTTTGAAGAAAGAGATCAAATACTGGAGAAGTGCGGAACAGGACAACAGTCAGTCAGTTGAAGAATGAAAGTGAAACTGAAAGCAAATTGCAGCATATTAATTTGCGATACTATTGCTCATTCTTTTGTATTTCAACCCTTTTAGCGTCAATGAAAGCTAATCATGATAACCATTTGTATGATCCCTGTATGACAGCTATATTAAATGATAGCCATTGACGAAAGGCTGACTTCACTGCACACTCAAGGCTGGTTGATGCAGTCATGAAACTTCAAAGAGCATCCTTGATTTCCTTCATCATTGGGTATACAGTTTCTATTTCAGCTGGCTCCTCTCAAAATGAAAATTCAGTTTCATCCACAGACTTGAGCTCTCATCGATAAAAATTTGTGATTTCATTATAGGGTGTGTGTTGAGATAGTGGGAAAGGATTTTATTAAGATAAAAAGGTTTTTTTTTTCCATCTTATCTTTCCCAACAACTTCATGTACATTATGGGTGTGTCTACCACCCTTAGGAGGATCCTATAAACCTGCCACCGACTATAGCTAGAGAAAGTCTGGGAAAGCTGACAAGTAACAGTGGAAAATTTACAAGATTATGGTTTCTACCACAGCAGGGACCCTAAACATGATTTCCGGTCACTGACCACAGTGGTGAAAATGTTATACATGTGTAATATCGACCAAGTGTTAGGTCGTGATGGCTGGGTATTGGCCAAGTTTTTTCGCATATTTATGGACAGAGATGAAGGCGAGGTCCATAATGGCTAATATCCAGCCATCTTGCCCGAACAAGCTTGGTCAATAAAGGATTTAATATATACCAAAACTATTTCATTCTATAAGAATCATGAATGACTTGTTTCTTTCAAGAGCTGAGAAAAATAGCCAACTGTGTTTGTAGCACAATAGGCCCACAACAGTCATTTATTTTTTTTCTGTTTTTACTGTCTTCTGTCACTTTTTGTGATTCCCTCACAATATAATCCAAAAATGATGAACTTTGATAGTCCGCTCTATGCAATGTTTTTCTTGTGCAGGATCAAAGTAGGAAATCCTGAGCAGGCAAGATGGGCCAATGACAAACACAGGATTTGTTTCATATTACCCATGAGTGCTGCCAGTGATGCACAATGTAACATAAGATGTATATTGCACATTGATAATCACTGGAAAACCTTGATATTATCAAATAAGACTGACTGCTTATTATGTTTGACCCACAGTAAAGATTATTTTCAAGAGTTACTTAAGAAAGCAAATGACATTAACTCTTGTTTGGAAGGCATTGTTCTGATTTTCAAGTGACTAAAGCCTAATTTCATTTCTTCTCAGGTTTGTTTCAAACAAAGAGACAACTTCTCTCTAAGTCTCATTTAATTCCTAGAAATAAATCAATATCACTTTTAACTGATAATACTCCTTTCTTTGGTTCATATTTCAGACCTGTTAACTTCTTTCTAACACTTGGTCTTACTAACACCTTGGTCCCTATATTACATTATTTTTTCTTTCTCTTTTATTGGGGAAAATCCAATAAAAAAAAATCTGTACATAATTATAGCACTTATAAAGTCAAGGGAGTAAGGATATTATGCACTGACACCAATATTTGGTATGACCTAAGGAGTCTGGTTCCCAGAGAATGTGCAATGATTGACATATGGTTTGATGTTGAATTGAAACACTTCCTTTTTTAGGAACACAGACTTGTGAAGTATTTAATGAAGAACGCAATTTTGCTTCCTCACTACTATTCGAACCTATTGAAATATCTTTCTCCAGTTTTGTCATCTTTTGTGATTGCTTTGTTCCATCACCACAAGCCTGTAAACCCATAATTATACAAGTACTTAAAATCTTAGGGTTGGTTATTCACACAAGCCCTAACCCAATTAATGGGCCTCAGGCTTTCTCTACAAGAGGGTTGATTTAATTATATTTCAGCTTTCTTGATACTGTTCTCAGAACAAGTGTTCAGGTAAAAGACTCAGCTAAATTGAAGATTGTCTAGGACATGAATTTGTTAAACAATGCCAAAACTTTGCTTAAATAATCAGGCTGTAATGACCAACTTAATTATCTATATCTTTCTGAAAGTGATTTCAGAGATGTGCAGTGAGTTACCTATTCCAACCATCTTTCAAAAGGCCACACAACCAAGAATGTATACAAAATATCTATTGCTTCAAAATCCCAACTTTCAAATTGGATGATAGTGAAACAAGTGATTGTAAGTCCCATCAAAAGTGGTAATTAACTACCATGCAAGTCTGGGCTCTAAACCTTGTGATCATTTATCAGTCATGATGGGTATTGAAAAAGAAAAAACAAAACAAAAGATGCTACATTCCATTGTCATTGGGTATGAGAAACATGAGTATGAGTACTTCTTGCACCATTTTTTCCCTAAATTTTACTCTTCCAGTGGTAACAGGTGAAGCCTAGCCCCATAGATGCCATGGTCACCTCAACTATACACATGTAAAATTCATCAGCTTCCAACAGTTTCAAATTTAAAATCTAAAATTTAAAATTCAGACATGCCCTACAAAAAGCAGTTTGTTGTATTGTATTTGAGACAATCTTGTTTAATCAACTGTGTTGATAATGTAAATTGGTCTTCATGAAAAGTCTCTTGGACTGGCATCTCAAGCATTAGCCCTTTGTCAGAGCGAATAGAGGAGGGGTTAACTTGCAAAATGTCAGCTTTAGAAACTCTTAATGGTGGCCAATTTACATTATCAACACAGTTGATAGTGTAAATTGTAACAAGGCAGCACTTCATCTTCTTCAGAAACTTAATCCCCCCTTCATTTTATTGTATATGGACCAGCTTAGTATAAATTATCTATACAGTTACTGCTAGATTTGAGGTGTCTTCACTGAATAGTTATAACTGTGCCTGCACTGCTCTACCTTTTATAATGGAATGTCTCAACAAAGTTATAGTTATTCATATGGAGTTGTCCACTGACAACACCACCTCATCTGTGGTGGAGCATCAGACCATAAAAATAAGTTGGTCTGGAGTTTGAATCAGTATGGACTGAATTGTTTTTTGACCCACACTTTTATCTTCTTTTATTAGAAGTGCAAGCTTAAAATTTACCCAGATTAAGCCTGATTGCAATGCCTTGGTCAATCAATCCTCCTTAAGAGAAACTTTCACCTTTAAAAAAAATTCATGTCTGTCAAGAGTTAAATAACCTTTAACCTAGCTTAGTAATGCTTTCATAGGACTTTTAAAATCCAGACTTTGATTTTCAATGAAACACTCACAGGTTTTTCTTTAACCAATGTTTTCACAGTCTGTGGTGAGGATATTTTAACTGTGATCACACTTATGTGTCCACCTGCGCCAGTTCTTTAGGGGAAATGTTAAGTTTGCAAGATCAAGGCAACTGAACATTCGTTTTTATTTGCCCCCCCCCCCCAACCCTGCACGGCTTGATATGTTTCTTGTAGTTAAATTTCTCTCACACAGGTGGTCCAATATCCACAATCACTGCGGAACTTAATTATCATAATCATGTAGTTTTCAACAGATTCCTTCGGATTCAGTCGGTGCAGACCAGTTCTTAATCAAAGAAGTACTACATACAATTTCGATTATTGGAGAAAAAACTGAGTCACTTCCAATAGATTGTCCAGAATTTGACTCAAATATCAAATAGCTTTGCAAACAGCAAGTCCGTTCAAAACACGTTAAAACAATACTTCTAGTGAGTCGAATGTATACATTAAGACAGCTGTTTTCATGACTTAGTAATTATTGTACTCATTGCAGAGCCACCAACATTTCTGCTCCTCAGTTATTATGTTTTGACTCTTTTGACCACTTTTGGAGTCAAATTTCACCGGCACTGTTGGTTGTGTTTAGGAATTGTGAGATGGACAGGAAAGATGGTGCAGTAGGTATCACAAAGCAACATTACATAAACACAACATGGGCACGACAGTCTGGGAAATCAGCTTTAGTCTTAGCTGCCAACTGTAACGATTGTCAAGATTACACACTTTGTGAGAAACAAGCACCGTGATAATTTTATACGATAGATAGTTACCGGAATATATGATTAGGAACTACCGGTCGAGTATATTCTTCCGACGCTTGTACATGTAAAAGTTCATTCGCCCACCAAATCGCCTATAACACTTACCCAAGTCGATAGCATCCATTAGCATTACATACTAGCCAGGATGACGATTTTTCGCTATCTCCAACTGATTCATCATTTTCTCTTAAACGTGCTGGACCTGGAGCGCTCACTCTCCTCGCCATTTCTTGTCAACAAGCTCTCACACTTTCGAATTACTATGGTTGCGGAGGTCTGGGGCTACAGGTAAATCACGCACTTCCTTGGTTACGTAACCAAATTTCGTCCTCCACAAAGGCAGTATCAACAAACACTAAACATGAATATCGCTTAAGTTTTTCCGTTCGTAAAACGTGTGTAAAGAGAAAAAGTATGAGTCAGCGAAAACAAGTTGAGGCTTTCTTGTTGAAAATTGGTTCGTGTAATAACCATGTTGGGAAAATGACCTGAAATCCCATACAAATCCGTGTGATCTATAGCCATATTTGATATTGCGTGACGTAAGCTACTCGTTTCTCTGCACTCACCTGATTGACAAAACGACGAAGTAGAGATATGACAACTTTTAGTAAACGGATGCGTTTACGCACGTAAACGTTCATTTCTACGGACATGATATTCGTGAGGCGCGTTCAAGTGCGTGGAAAAAACGCGACAGTGGAAATATAGCTTTAGTTAAAGAGGAAAATGTCCTATGCAAAGAGTGTGACGATGACTTCGAACGGATCTTTTCCTCAAATGAGCATTTTGAGTTACTTTATTTCTTAGGGCTACTATTAAATTATATTTGTATGGTAGGAATAGGACCTATCGCCTTTCTTTTCCACCCAAAATACGAACTGGGGCCATGACACAAGACCTGAGAGAATCTTATGACATCAATTTTGTGAAAATAAATGTAAAACGCAATGGAGTCAACATTCATGAATTCCAGGTCAGTCCAATGAGTCGTAAATACTTACTTTTTCGCGGTACTTAATTCCGATTCGTGTCTATAAGGAATAAAATTCGCAAAAAGACCAAAGATCACGTCTGCATTCAAACCATAGACATCGCCCTGTCATGATGTTATAATTAGCAGCTATGGCTAACATCGAAGCAAACAAGCATGTCGCGGTGATATTGCCATTACCAAGAGGTCAGTCAAATATTTGGAACACTTTTCCATCAAGAGGATGATGTAGCCCAGAAAACCTTAAACTCCATTGCAACATACTTTGAGTAACCAATATCTATTGCATCTGTTCATCGACTTGTTCCTTGCATTCACTCCTTAAATAGCTCATCTTGGATAGCCATCAACGAAACGAAGATGAATGTAAAACAATGATTTTTGACTCTGATCGGGAAAACGATTTTACTGATCGATCTGAAAAAAAAACTTGAGCTTCATTTTGAAATATGAAAGATAATGTATCCGAATTGATAGCAGATGTCCTTGCTGCCTCATTCTTTCTGATTAGTCGATGTGGTATTGGTTAAGAAGGATGAAATTGGTAAAGCTGTCTATCGGTGGGCCACCCAGCCAGCATGTCAGTTTGTCAGTCAGTCAGTCATGATCAGTCAGTCAGTCAGTCAGTCAGTCAGTCAGTCACTCAGTCAGTCAGTCAGTCAGTCAGTCAATCGCTCAGTCAGTCAGTCAGTCAGTCGGCTAGTCAGTCAGTCAGTCCGTCAGCCAGTCAGTTAGTCAGTCAGTCAGTTAGTCCGTCAGCAGGAGCCCATTACTGAATGGGCTCCTGTCCGTCAGTCAATCAGTCATTCAATCATTCAGTCATTCAGTCATTCAGTCATTCAGTCATTCAGTCATTCATTCAGTCAGTCTTTTGGTCGGTCAAGCAAACAATCAGTTGATAAGTTAGCCAGTCAGTCAGGCAATCAGCCGGATGTCTGTTGGTCCATCCGTTTGTCTTTCAGTTCATTCATTCGGTCGTCCAGTCGCTCGGTCGGCTGGTCGGTAGGTCAGTCATCAGCCTATTTTTCAAGCTAGGCAGCGGGTCCCTATGTCCTTGTTTTAAGCATATAACAAGCATCAATCATCGATTGATCGATAAATGAAGCAACCCTTTAATCGTTGTTACTTCCTATACATGACAGGCAAAAGTTGGATAACAATGTTGTTAGTAATTTAGAATTAACATATATTTCTTTTCGTGTATTTTATTTGTTTGGATCATTTTATTCCTGCATTCTTCCTCCAAATCCTTTCCCTATGATACAGCATGCCTTCCTGTCAGCCACCTGCAAAAATAACAAACAGTAAAGCCGTATTAATGAACTAGTTGCCTTTAAAAAGTACTCTGTCATGCTCCTTTCTTGATTTCACAGCTCTTGTTTTTTAATTTATCAACTGCGCTCATTGCAGAAGAGCTTTACCTCGGCGAGAAGTAAGTATCATCCAACAAAGTGTTTTACTCTTGACTTGTACTAAAGCCAAATGGTGCTTGAGCAAATCATTGTCATTCTTGCTTTCATTGCTTTTGTTGAGCCGTTTGATGATGAAGATGATGAAGCGTGTTTTATGTTACTTTATGTTGTTGTTAGCGTTGTTTGTGGGTTGCTCGACTTTTTACTAGAGTCCAAAATGAGAGTGACAGAAGGTGAGAGCAAGATATTAAGGAAAGGCTACTTACACTGTCTACAGCTTGCTTGGCAGTTCTTCTTCATTTTCTTGGTTTCGCAGCTGCGGAAGAACATTTCCTGTTTCTTACACCACCTGTGACTTTTACGGTTTGCGCACCGCGCACGCTTTTCAATATCGTCGAAAACTGGTAACATGTCTGAGAGATGAAAAATTCAAACTGATCAATTGCTTTGGCCTGAATTTAAATAAAAAAGCACCAACATAAATATGCTCTCACTCTTTTCATTGCTTTGCAAAACCTTTGATGGAAATTTTCCAGTTATCGTTTAGCGTGTTTGACAACGAAGAAGAGAATTAATTTTTCTTGAAATGTACATGTGTAACAGATTTTTAACGTCATCGTGAGAGAAGTGAATGACAACAAGGCTTGAATTTGAATGACATTTAATAAAACCTCCTGATCTTTAATTACTTAGTTTTAGGAAACGGTTGAAGTATTTTCGATCAATTATTCGCGGAATATACTGATTGAGTTGGTGATGAATGAAACTCACTCTTTTAGTATTTTTCTGTGGCTGATTATTTATTCATGCAGATATCTATCACACGGTGTCTTCGCCTTCACACATTATTCGGACCCATTAATTGAAAATTTTATCTTTTTCCGACATCGCATGTAGTTCATTCTGACAATGCTTTCTAAACATGAAATAAAGGATTAAATGAAACATCTATCAACCGGATTAAACTCACCTTCGAAAAGCATTTTAGTAATGAGACTACTCTCCTTTTGAGCATTTTCACTATCATCAAACTTTGCGGTAGCAATTCCAATAAACATGAACAGGATGAGAGGGAGACAGCACATTCTAGTGTGAGGCATTATCGCTGTCAGTTTTTGCCGTCAGGGAGGGCGAATTTCCACCTGTTTAGGGAAGATACAGCCTTCAGTATTCGAATCTTTGTTTTCACTTGACTCTACTCTATTTAAGTTAGTTTCATTGGAATTTTACGTATATAACTGGCAGAAAAACTTGTCCTTTTTCATTTATCAAAGTTGACACAATCGCAAAAACGTATGCCACCATCCATGGTTTTTGGAGTTTCCTACATTTCATGCACCCATGAAGCTACTTGCAGGTTGAGAACCATTTATCGGAAAGTTTTCAGAAACTCTAAGCGTTACAAGTCCTTCAGTTACTTGGAAATTTAACAGTCTTTCCAATGAGCTACCTCTGTAGAAGTCAGAGATAAAGAAGTCTTGTATGACAAATTCAGTTGATTCAGTGAGTGTGACTAGTAAGAGTGTTCTGAGTTCGAACAAGAGCAACGTGGATATGATTTAAGATTAAAATTGTCAGAAAACCCTACCGGAGTGATTGTCATATTAATTCTATGTTAAGAGCTGAAATAACTTCATACAAACCTACCTGTAAATCCGTCTGGCTGGCTTTGGATGGAAATGAAAGACACGATCGCTCATTCTATTTATGTAGAAAAATGGCCGCACATTTCCTGACCAATGTGCCATCCAATCCAAATCAAATTAAACTCAATCAGAAAAAAACAAGCGATATGAGGTTACGAAATCTTACCAGAAGCAGTAGAACAGGAACAAACATGACACTGACGTCCAAACAAAGCCGCCTTTCCGAAAGATAACTTTCAAACTTGCTTGGAGGTAAATTAAAGTTTGCAATGAATTATTTAGTGAGTTTTGATTACATGTTATTTTATTTCAAAGTGATAATATGAACAACTTTTTAAAAGTAATATTGAAATAAGACAAAAATGAAAACAAAAATAGAATGAATTGACAGTTTGACAAAGTGTCGATTTTGTCAAGCCTCTAATTGCAAGTGACCGGTTGAGCAATTGCCATATGGTCTTCACGCCCACTTCAATTCTTACCAGCTTTCTTAATATTAATTTTGTGGCTGTTTTATTTGAGTGAGCTGAAAGGTTTTGATTGCGCTTTATTGAAATTGAAATTTCAAATCCGCAGTAACTTAGAAACATGAGTTGTTTAATGTCTTTGGCATAAAAAGTTCTCTCATGAAACCGTGTGACCTTCATTTCAAGTTTCTCTAAGATATTGAACACGTGTTTCGATGACTTACTGGTATAAATTAGCGAAGTCTAGTTCGGAAAAGTAGAGACAGATTTCGTGAAGTGTAAGCTGGTCCAATTGGTAGCTGGTTTAGGGGGAATGTAAAGATATACTCATAGTTCTGAGTACTAACTGTAGCTTTCCTTCTCAGAACAGGCGGACCTCACTTAAACCTTAAAGCAGCTAGATTTTAAAGATAACCCTGAGCTTGTATACACCTTACAATTAAATATCATTTAAAAATTAACACAATCTAAGAAAAACTTGCTTCGGAAAATTCTACGAGTAGATAAGAGAATTATTTACTTTTAGGAATTATTCAGCCACACCTATACTTGTGGGCCTTTGTTTTTGCTTTCGAATCGGAAATATTATTAATGATGTATCTGCTTATTTATTCATTCAATTTTTTTTCAAGAAAACCTCCCTCCTCGGATCTGTGCATGATAAAAAAATTTAAAGCATTTACTTTAAACCATTGACGTTTGATTAACGCTGATGAGGTAAAGGTATCATTTTGATTGTTGTTTTTTGTAAAACAGCGTAAAAAATTAGGGAATGTAGTTTCACCCCAAAAGAATCCTCTCGTGAGGCTTTATTTGAATATGTTATCTATATTTTTTTCACATTTCCATATTAAGCTCGTCAAGCTTGATCGGGGAGGAGGGGTTGAAATTTTCCTATTTTTCCATCGCCCAGAATTCAGCGACATATCCGGGACTTTCATTGAGACGCTGGCGCTAAATTTAAAAGCTAATTAGAAAACGATTGTCAAACAATAGAGAAAAGGGCTGAAAATGTCGAGGAAGACTTACGTTCTGTTTGTTTACGGATAAACTACTTTTCAAATGCTACTTTTACCATATGGCTTTTAAAGAAGAAAGGTCAATTGAACAGTATATCATTCTCACTTTGCTCTTGCGCTTTCAGAAGAGGTCGCAAACTTGCCTAACCATTCTGACAATGGTGAAAATGCTTAGAAAGGCCACTGGCCTCATTATGGATTCATATTAGCGTTTTCTGTAACAGTTTTCACAGCTATTTGTCTATTTGTGCTCCCTTTGCAAAAATAAGTCCATATAACTCCACTATTCTACCATTCCTTGCGCGATTTTTTCTTTATTGACTCATTGTTAGATTTCCAATAAGATTCATTTGAAGATAGAAAAAGTGGTTGTTGTAAGAAGCCACATTTTATTCCATTAAATGCATTCATCAAAAAGATCTGTTTCACGATGACGGCAAGGGTTATCATTCTAAAATGTGCATGCTGATGGCATCACGTTCGAGAGAAAATCATTATGTTCATTATTTGTTAACGGGATTAATAAGACTGCTTTACTTGGTTTTAAAAGAACAATAACTCGGCTCGCTAGTTATGAAAGAGTTCCATAAATTCTGCACAATCCATTACAGAAGTTTTGGCATCTTATTTTAAACTCTTCAGTTCCTTCGTAACATGCTTCATTATAAAGAAACTCGAATGTGCAAAAATGGATGTCGCTTGGATGAGGACACTTCGTCATCCCAGGTTCTGTAGAGAAAAAAAAATTATGGGTTTGATAATTCTTAGAATACCAATTAAATGAAATAAAGAAGTGATGACGATACCTAAAAATAAAAGGAAAACTGAGCATAGAATGTGATTTGTTTCACCTTGGGAGGGGAGGGGGGGGGGAGGGTACGGTTACACGTAGGCTATATAGTTCGAACAGGCTCTCTGATAGACGCCGTGAATTTGCTAAAATGTAGTCATACTGGATGTCAGGCTTTCTGAGAGCACTCACAACTTTTCCTTTGATACCTTTCGTTATGGTCATCAGAACCGTTACACAATGATAAATTGTAAATGCACCAATCACGCACGATAGACACGATGCCTAATCCCTTCCTTTCACCAAAACAGTTTAAATACTCTTGGGAAAGAATGAAAGCTTATTCTTCCAGCTACTCAAAACGTTTTCTTAAATTTGTCTAAGCTATTTGGTAGAATTTCGCTCATTAGTTCATTGATTAGTGCCTATGCTGGACAGCACCCTTAAAATGGTATTTAAAACCGTTCAATATTTCAATTCGTCCTGCAAATGGCGTGCACTGCATTTCTAAGCAAACGTCCAAATTTAATCACACAAGAGCAACTTGAAACAAGTACTAGTGAGGTTCAAATAAATTTTCCCCAGCAATGGCTTAAGAGATAGTTATGAGGGGAACAGAACTGCTTCTCTGTCAAGGTAAAAAAGAGCTCGCGGATGAATTATTTTGCTCATCTATATAACTGAAATCAGCAGATCAAAAGTCATCTTCACACAGAGTTTTAAAAAATCTTACATGTTCAGAGTCACGCTAACGTCTAGATCGTGTAAGGAAGATGAAGCTACAATACGACCTTAAGCAACAGCCGTGAGTCACATGAAGTAGACCAAAGTAGAAATGAAATGGAGTTTCTAAGATAATTGATAAAGATGATGACTTTTTAAACAATGCTTTTGTTCGATGCCTACTAAAGTGTGGTAGGATCGAACCATCAAAGAATATACGTAACAAAAAAAAAAAAGAAAACGTGGAACCGTTTTTAGACAGCTTAAATCAGTCTTAGGATCTGGCATTTAAGTTCACTCATTTTTCTGACGATAGATCATTGACACATGGCATCATAAGGGGAAAATTTCATGCTCAGGCTAAAGACCAAGTGAAAATAAAACCTCATTATTTTCCCCCGTGGAGGCTAATGAAGCTTTATATTTTATGCATACTATATGTACTTAATGTATGCTTATGATTATAATGAAATGCCATTCCTTTCTTCCTCTTCTCGAAGTAGGCTAAGTTGCATAGCACATTCATGCTTGAGTCACAAAATAACATAAACGGTAAGTCAAGTTTTGTACTTAAATCTGAACAAGAGAAAACAATGATCCCATTTTCTCTGGATCTGAAAGAGTTCACGCATAGGGGGTAAGAAATTGTTTGAGAAGCTCGTGGTATAATTAATGTTAAAGACATATTTATTTTAACTGCGGTGTTTACAAGAATTTCCATCCCTGAGGAAACCCGTGTAAAATTACGATAATTTTTACGTGAGATTCTGATATCGTCAATCATGATCAGCCGCTGATACTTCAATCGCCTTGCGTGCCGCACTGTCAGGTTGATGAATGAATGGCAAAGCGTTCACCATTCTCAATCCAAGGTCGCTTGTCCAATTTTTTTTGTCGGTTTAGGGCTATGGTGTTTATATGATAAAAAATGATACATGTTTTCTTTTTGGTATGGAATTTCTCTTCCCGTGTTCAACTCGATATCTGACTCGCTCGTGAGATATCGAGTTGAACACCCTAAAAGAAATTCCATACATACATGCGCCCATTTATTATTGTCAATTCATGATTTAAATTAAGTTTTTTGCACTTATTCCTTATTCTCAGTTTGAAATAATCTGTTCGATTTATGGGCCGCTGTTTTCTTGATTAATTCATGAAAGTGTATTTTCGAAAGTTCATAACCACCGGAGGGAGTGAATTTTCATGAGAAGCGTACGATTTTATCCGTGAATAAAATTTTGAAAGACGCATTACTTCAAATATTCCTTAACTCACAATATGCAACGATATTTCCCGGGTTAATTTGGAAAAGTTGATCGGCATCGACTGGAAAACGTTTTTTGGTGGGTTTTTTTTTTATGTGGACACGACCGGCTTGCTTTTGATATCTTTAAACGACTACACATTGACAGCAAACCGCACAAAAGATTTTTTTTTAATTTCTCGTTATATAACACATGAGCCAATACTTTATGGGTTTGAATTGTGTCTTAGCTCTAATGTCTTTTGATGTATTTAAATATCTGAATTTTGGATGATAAATTATCTGTTTTTCGGTTTTAAAATAAAGTTTTAAAATGACGTACCTTCCAGTAATTGCCTTGTGCCTGACACGTCTTGCGACAATCTTGTTCTTAAAATGGGATGGGCGAAAGAACCAAGCATCAGAGAAACAAAAATATAGACAAAAATAGCGTGCTTTATCATAGTAAGGCGATTGATTTGACTCCGTTTGGTCAGCTGTTGAGATAAGGGTTAAACGAAAAATTAATACTGCAACACGAACAAAAAGCATCGAAAGCTATTCCACGATATCTCGTAAAATGTTTAATATTAGCATGGTCAGTTTTGATGTAGCTGGTGGCACGAATCTTCCTTTCGTGATTTCCTTAATGGTTTTCCACCTACTTTTTTTTAAAACCTATTTTAGAAAGGTACAAGTTACTTAACCACGCAAATGCTTTTCCAATTTCTGAGGCCATAATAGATATGGTAAGATCACTTTCGTATTCGGAAACTACTTCATTCTTCACTTGTGCCGTTAAACACAAATTTAAAGGATGGACCTTGCTTTCCGTAAAGGAAAATGAAACGTTTGATTCATTTGGACGAGAAGGAAAGCGAAATTTTTTGAGGAGGAAATTTGTAGCGTATAGTGTCCAAAGTAAAAATCAGTTGTGGCTTTGAAAAGGCGTACGTAGGGTCTAAGAGGTTGTACTTACCTAGCTCTCACGCTTTTGACGACTGAACAAGGTGTGTAGGGCTAGAACATCAACAAATCGTTTTTCTGTTGCTGTGGACTTGATAACTAACTGACTTTTCACCTGCCCCGCTGATTATTTCGGTGTACATCTTAACTATAATTACTTTCATTTTTCACACGTGTCAGCTAAATGAATTATCTTACCGGCATGTTAACACATGCTGTACTACCAATAATAGTGGAGTTCCTCAAAAGATTGTGATAAATGCAAATGGCCATATAGTCACGCCGATCAGGTGATATTTTTTTCTGAAGGCTTATGTGTGTGTACAACTCTCACCGACTTGCCAAACTGTGTATAAGCTCGCCATTTTCTTTACAGTCAGAACCACTGCATTTGGCTAAACTGACTCCGAAGAACTCAGTGGGCTCTCGGTTTCATGGCGATAGTTGGAAAACTACTTTTACGTGTTTCGGTCTGCAAACAAGTCGTTTTTTTCCTGAGAACTTCACTTATAGAAATGCAAATCTCGCGTTTGTTTTTAAAGAAATGGTGCTCTTTTGTTTCAACGGTCCTAATTTTCAAGAAATCTGATTTTTACTTACTGCAATGGGCTTCTAATGGTATAGTAAAGAAACTCAAAGGTTTTTTCAAAAAGCGAAGCTACTCCGACTGAGGAAATTATGATCACGCTTGAAAATTGAGAACGATCGTTTTTAATAAGTTATCCTAATTAGCGGCCCTAACCAAAAGTGAACTTGTGTTTTAACTTAAAGGCGTCATCATGCATTTATAAATATTGGCAAAAGACTGCTGGAACCAGCCGCTTTTCGTAAAGTATATTACCATTTTTATTCATCTTTTTTCGGTTCATACCTCTTTATATCACAACGGCGCAAAATTTCAAACCTGCCTGGTTAAACGTGAGTGTACCAGCAAAACAAAGCTGAGCTCAGCTCCTTTGATCGAAAACCAAACATACTGTTCAAAAACCACCTGTGCCCATATTATATGAGGAAAATTAAGTACACCATGGATATTGTTGGTGGGCTGTTTACTGCGTTCCAATTCCAACCACTGTGTATTGTATACTGAATTGAAAAAAAATGCAGCAGATAGTTGCTCTAATTGTGTTACCCAGACTCCCACATGTATTCCGCGTCATACTCATCCCTCATAAAGTATAATAGTACCTCTAGTACGTGACAAAATTTTTAAGTCTTTGGGTTTTCTGATCAAGTCCGGCTTTACTGAAGCATGTTGTATTATTGTGTCAATATGATTTCTAGCTTATGATTACAACTGTGAATTTGCAGTGCTCTCATTCGTCACGTTTTAATAATGAATGCATGAATTGCTTGCTTGAAAACGGCTTCTACCACAAATTCCCTCTGTCCTTGAAAAAGTAATTTTTAGCGACATAAAACTGAGCTTGCAACTCATATCATTGCTGCCCATGTAAGCATTTTTCATGACAACTTTATTGCTGCACACATCATGTGGTAATACATTTTTGGACAAATTCAATTCTATAATGTCTTAAGATATTTTCTTAAACTGGTTTTAAGATTATGACGCCAATCGGTTGGCTTACTGTAATTAATGCAATATTTAACGATATTAACTACATACAGTAAACTTAATGCATTATCCTTGAAAAAAAAAATGATGGTTTAAAGCAGTTCTCTACAGAACATAATCCCACCTTGGACCTCTGTTCGCGTAACAAGAATGGATTAGTGGAGGCTTTGTTATTCATAGAAAATTCAATCCTTTTCTCGCATTAATAGGTTTATATCGATTTACCACAAGTTAAATTTTGCAGGAGTATCCACACTCGTGACACAATCAATCCAAAATTGTTCTCCTCTGAGAGGTGTTTGTGTAATACACATTCAGTGATGTTAATCAATAATGATTGAGAAAGTATATATATCCAGAGATTCGTCTTGTTCAAGTACACGGCATTGAGGTAAAAGTTCGTGCACAATTAAGTCCAAGCTGATACGATTAACATTTTGTGAGAGTTTTGCACAAATCCTATTAGTACTGGTTCTCCTAGCCACGAAATTCAGATGATTGCATAAACTACACAACCACCATTATTCGCCAAAGAGAAACGTTTCGAAGCGTCATCGAATCATGTGAATCCACGTCGCCTAGGTTAGAATGTTAGAGATCTGTATCCTCTACGACAAATACTTTAAAAGTGACACTGTTTAAAGTGTATTCTTGTATTGTTGATCGTTCTTGTTCGTGTAGTATCTGTAGCAACACCTTAGTTGCTTCAGACAAACGGTTTTTTCGAGATAAGTCATGAGAGTATCGGTTCCTTGATAATCTCATCGTCATTTTAGGTACTGTCTTAAATTCGAAGTCGGCGTAGTCTCCTTTCCTGTCACTTAACTTTGATCCCACAGTTTCTTTAAGAAGATCGCTGAGGGCGGGCGAACGAGTCGGAGATAACTTCTTCATTTGCGTAATATAGAGTAGCAGGAGCTTTTATAACACCACGTCAAGTGTGTTGTAAGACAGACCGTGAATGAATACCAGCTTCTTGTCGAATAACAATCAGCAACGATGATTTTGCTGGTTGTCAGGAAAAAGACCAAACCAAGTTATATGCAAGCCCTCGTTTGAAAAGGTACTTCGCAATGCTTCGAGAAATTAAAAGCTTTTGTTTGCTGAGCAAGGTTGCATTGTCTTTCCTGCTAACTGAAGCATGTAACAAAAGATGTCATCTGAAAAAACCTCACATGGTATTGTTTAAATTGAAAAGCAGAGACTCTCATTACATACATTTTTTGGGTTTCCATGACGTTGATGAATTCCACTGCGTGCCAAGCAGATGACACTTTGGCTTGTGTCTAGCCTCTCTTGTAATTTATGTTAATTATGAAAGTGGAAGGTAATGGAAAATTTCTTTGTTTTGGGGATTTTTGCTATGCAGTATAAAAAAATCAGCGTTCGTCTGTGCTCTCACAAAAATTCATTCGCCAAAGAGAGAAGGCGCAGCTAGAAAAACATTAAAGTGATATCTTTCATGTAAGAATGCGAGTAATGTTGTTCTTGGTTTCATATTATTGATATCCTTGTCATCGAGTCTTAAAACATGTCAAACATCTTGTTAGAGATCAGCCTTAAAAAGAAAACCGAAGGAGTCAAAAACAACAAAAAACTAACACGACACTTTTGATAACGAGCCGCGTGGTCTAAAGCTACAACCATTGTTATGGCTGTAAATATTTTTGTTTTCCGTTCATAGTTGACTTGAGGGCTCCTATTGTGGACTCGCTGTGAAAGATATTTTTCCAAAATAAGTACCTTCAGAACCAGGTCTTTCTTTTTCAATATCAGTCCAACAAGCCCTCTCTTATATTGAGGCAATCTTCAGAAACTCCATTTCAGGATTCCATTACTTCCTAAAGGTAACCTAAGTGCTTTCTTATTGAAGTAGATAAACAGACGTCAATTATAGCACTGGCTGGTTAACTGACTCATTCATCTTAAAAGGGGAACAAAAACATATTCGTCCTATCCAACTCATTCCGTAAACTTTCCATAAATTTTTGCTTAATCCGCCGCATTGCATGCATGCAGTTCCATAGAGTGACGATGGCTCTGGTATTTTATAAATTCCACTCACTGAGCGTGAGTAAGACTGTTTTTCAGTTCTTAACGTACCGACTGCTGAAGAATGTACTCATTATACATTCGAATCTGGTGAGGCTTATTTTCGATCATGCAAGGATTTGTGTATATGTTCAACTTCAGCCTTGTAGATCAACAGTTCTTCAAAACTGGCTTGTTCATAAAAATTGTAACCTACTGGGAAGTGCTTGTGAGTGTATTGGTAGTGTGCCCTTGTAAAATTTGTGTTTCTGCGAGCTAGGGAAGTAAGGTCTACCCCTTGAAAATCACAATTCCTTACCAAGTCAATGTTAATTTGGAATGATCGTTTCCCTGTTGCAAGCACTTTGGCCTTAAAAAACCCCCTTGGGCGAGTAGTTTACTGAGAATTGAAACAGCTAGGTTAGGCCGCCCTTTGTATCGCAGAGTTGACGGGTGCAGAGATGTGCTACTCCAGATTTAGTGAGGGAGAAAATATCATTGTGAAACGCAGAGGAGCGTCATCTCAAGTTGATACTCCTTTGGTTTTGATTTGGATCCAGTGAATGACATCGTGGATGGAGAGTGCTATTTAATTAATGGCGTCATTCTCAAAGAGAGCGTAACTTTTTGCGGTAGAAAAGGTTATCACACACCTATGGAAAACCATGATCGTTGTGGGAAAAATTGAAAACCAAGATAGCATGTATTTTCTCTTGTTGAAAACGTAAATCTAGGCACACTGAGTCGGGAGCTGGTTAACAGGAATAATTAGACGAACAAGCACTAGCCTCACTCCTGATAGAGAAACGGCGATCTTTGACATGGCAGCAATTGTGTTCTTAGGAGACACCCTCGCTCTAGTTATCTCCTTTCTTGTGCACGTGTTACCTTGGCAGCCTAAGTAATAATAATAATAATAATAATAATAATAATAATAATAATAGAGGCCTACAAGTCTAAACAACTCAAGTCGGGGACGTTCCGTGCAACACCCTGGTTGCACTACTGGTCAAAGACGTTTGGGGCTCAGTGAAAGACAAATGTCTTGCTTTTGCTCCATTTTAATGAGAGCAAGACGGAGAGCATTTTAACACTGCTAATAATGACGAGAGAAAACCAGAAAATAAATTTGTAGTCATTCGTTCTATACTTGAGATGAACGTGCTTCGAAAACTTTGTCTTGTTTACTGATATCGAAACAAACTAGAAGAATCTGGTGTTTTTAATGTGGAGGTATTGGAACCGATGGGAATTGACTCTAAGCCTTAGCTAGTCTACTCGGTTAAGCCAATATTTGGTCGCTTTTTAGGGAATTGATTTCTAAACTAGGCTACAAGATCACTTGGACACATGTTCGATCTCAAAGATTCTTTATTCTTCTGATGCCGCATCCGGCGAACGTCTTGTGGTAAGCCTTTGACTAATTGTTGAATAGTTTAGGGCAGAGCGTGATCAAGAAAAAATCAAACAATGTAACTGATATCTTTGTTTGGATTAGATAATAAACCC